GAACCTTCAGCAACAGCCACAGTATACCAGATTACGGGTGATTTTTTAAGAGGTATAGGATTTTATTTTCAAAACAACACAAAAAATTTGAAAAAATTGGTGAAATATTTATTGAAATCGATAGAACGATCAATATAATTATATATTTGAAGATGATTTCATGCAAATGTTGTCCGCGGCTCCGCTTTAGATGTCCCATGCGCAAGGTCCAATTTTGGCATACTCTCTCCAACATATCGACCGGTATTTTACATATAAATGCTTCAATATTGGCTTCCAGAGCGTCAGTCGTTGCTGGTTTATTCCTGTAGACATGAGCCTTAACATGACCCCACAAAAAAATAATCCAAAGGCGTTAAACACACGATCTAGGCGGCTAATTGACGGGCCCCAAACGTGAGAAAAACTTTATACCGAAGGCGGCTCTTAATTGGGCCATTGTTTCGCGTGCCGTGTGGCATGTGGCACCGTCTTGTTGAAACCACATGTCAGGCATGTCCAATTATTCCATTTTGAGCAACAAAAAGTCGTCAATTACCACACGGTAGCGCTCGTCATTCACAGTAACGTTCCGGCCATTGTCGTCTTTGAAGAAGTACCTACGGCCCGATGATGCCACCGACCCATAATCCACACCAAACAGTGACTTTTTCGGGATGCATCGGGAGCTCTTACAATGCTTGTGACTGATCTTCACTCCATCAGATGCGGCAATTTTTCTTGTTAACATATCCATTCAACCAGAAATGAGCCTCGTCGCTGAACACAATTTTTCGATAAAAATGTGGATCTTCCTCCAACTTTGCCAGCGCCCATTCACCAAATGTTAAACGTTGTGGAAGTCGTGTGGCTTCAATTCTTGCACCAGCTGTATCTTATAAGGTTTTACACCCACATCCTTTCGCAAAAATTTCCACGTAGTGAAGTAACAGAGGCCCAATTGTTGCGAACGGCGACGACTCGACATTTCACGGTCATCACGAACACTGGCAGATACAGCCGTAATAAAAAACCCGGAATAGCTTTGACACAATTATCTCCAAGGTCTTACCTTTTAACGTATGATTTTTAACACGCTTTTAGTGGAATCAAATGTTCCAAGTCACGTGAAAACTTCCCGTAAAAGTATCTAATAGAAGGGAGACAAATATCCCACCTTTCTTCGATTTTCCAGACTATCAAGGTTGCATCCATCATTGCTGGATTCCACCCATCATTTCTGATGGGTGGAATCCAGCAGCTTCAGGGTATGCTTAGGTGCGGAGCTCCATACATGAGAACAATACTTTAAAGAAGATCTGATCTGAGCTTTATAGAGTATCAAAAGTTGCTTAGGTGTTCCAAGCTTTTGAGAATTAGTTTTTGCAATTCCAGCGATATGGTTGTGTCAAGACATATTGGTGTCCATTTTAACCCTCAACAAACTTATCGAAGCAGGAAACGGAATTGTCTGTCCTAGCATTATTATATCCGATTCGGAAACATTCATCTTTTTGGAGAAAACCGATGCCTGGATTTTTGTGGCATTGAATTGAACCTGGTTACTTCCACCTCAATTCAAAATCACTTCTAGATCCTCATTAAGATATGCAACCTCTTGCTGCTGGTGAAGATGTGTATCTGCAACCGATGTCCTAGAAATCAAATGGAATGACAAGACAAGTGTGCTGTCGTCAGCAAAGTAATATATTGGATTCTTGTTTTTTTAATAAGTACAATCAAAAGAGGGTTGGAGACAATATGGATCCCTTTGGATCACCATCGACGGCCACTTGCAGGGAACGTTCTTTGAGGAAATTGCAGAGTAATACACAAAAGTGATCCGACAAGCCATATCATCAAAGTTTGGCCAGCAAACCCTCATGTCTCATGCCTTAGAAATATCAAGCGCAACAGCTCTTGACTCTCAATGTTTCTTGATGGCGTTATTCCAAATATGGGTGACATATACGATAGAAGGTCGCCTGTTAATCTTGATGATCGCTCAAGATGTTGAAGCCTTCCAAATATTTAAGGATATGGTGGATTACAGCTTTCTCCATGATTTTTGATATCACTGATAGCAAACTAGACGTTATAAGCATTGAGCTGGTCAAACTCAGTTCACAGTTTGATGTGAAAATAAGGTCCAGGGAGACTTGGCTGGGGGAGGTAAAGTAAGTCATAGATTTAGAAACGATAAAATGATCTGTAAACTCATTTCAACCAATAAGTCACCAGATAGCATTTTTCTAGCTATATGTACCCAAAACATGGAGACTGACTCTGACCACCAGCTGAGGGAGTACCATAATCTTCAGTACGGAACCAGATTGGGATATGTATCTCTAAGCAACATAAAGAGTACCGGGACCGTCCAAAAAACTTCTTCAACAAAGCAGGAATTGGCTTCGAAAAATCATAGAGCTACTCACGGGACACTGTCCATTTAAAAGATACCTGCACAAAATAGGGCTCTACATGAAGAACTGCAGGCAATGCAGTAAGAGACAACGAAAGCTCGTCACATTTTCAGCGATTCACGATTAGCAACAATGATATTGGACTTTTAAAATCAAGAAAAAGACGTGTAGTAACTGTGATCGTGTTTGTAAAGTTTCAAATTTTACCGCGTATAATGAAATTTTTTAGCATTAGTATTTAGTAATAGTGCACGAGAAGTTAGTATTGTGATTTACAAAATAACGGAAATCTGTGAAATAATAATGAACTTTATTATTTATTTATGTTGAAGAGAACAAAATCCGGAAATGGTAATACATCGTAAATATTTATCAACCTGTTTGGAATTGCTTCGCACTTGCTTGTGATCGACTATGAAGAACAACGGGATGTGACGATGGATTTGTTGGTATGGGTATGAAAAGTTAACAATTGCGAGCGATCAGCTTGGTCCTAGTTTTAGGTCTGGAAGTTGCATCTCTAATACTCCAACTAACTCTTCGCAGCAGTATGCATTTCATTAATGATTTAGGTAATAAGAACGCGCGGAAAGCATCTTGAATTTATCATCGACTTTGCTACTCCAATAGAAAATGAATAATTCCGATTATTTTCATTTGTGTTCATAACGCATATGTAGGGGTGAAATTCCTAAAGCTCCGATCCAGGAGAAATGACTAGATACTTACTCAAATTAAATAGGACTTTACACGTAGTATGTGACGTAAAGCGCTCAATGCTGGTATACACACAAAGGAAAACCGTTGGGTGATTTGGAGAAGGCAATTATTGCATCCTTATCACATCAAGCGTGAGCAAATACTGTTTTCATCAGACTACTCAAACGACTACGATACGATTTTGTAAATAAAAGCTCCGAAGAATAAGAAGAGAGTATGATTAATGATTATAACTTGCATTATTGTACTGTAGAATACCCAGGAATAATGCGAGAAGATAGATTCTAACATTAATTTGGTTTCAATTGGGCTAATATAAATGACGTATTACTTGGGCCATTTCGGCTTCCGACTAAACAGAAATGAAACGCAGTTTTTGAGATTTTCATAAAACGATTTGCTTTTTTTGGCATCATGGGTAATCGCAGTCCATCAGCCATTTGACATCGCAGAATTATCCCAACTTCAACTTGATTAATTCTCACGGAGAAAAATATCTGGTTTAGGTAGGGTTTGAACCCAACCACCATTCAATTGTGAATCGAGTGCACTACCACTTGCACCAATTTACCGCTGAATGACTTTATATGATTCTTTATATCACGGTAAAAGTTGAGATGAAAATCATAGTGGAGATAAAAGTTGATGTTAAATAAATCCACATTTAGTGTGGTCGAGTGAGTAAAAGAATATATTTGTCTTACACATGATGCCAAAACGCCACCTGATGAAATGTGGGCATTACAAATAAAATTTTGAAATGGTAATTGTCAGGCATAGAGGTTATTTTTTTAATTCCTTGCTGTTTTTAACTTTAAAGCAGATCAGATCAAGTCGAGCAGCTCAAGTTCAGCAATTTCACAGAATTGTATCATATCTGTGAGTTGTTGAAATTATTTTTATAACAAAACTGACGAAACTAAAATTTTGGCAAAGTGATTTTTTTCAATACTGGGAAGACAATGAATTTTAGTAAATAGAAATTGAAGTACTGCTAATTTTCAAACAAATGGGGCATCATGTAATTCAGCACGAAATATAGTAGTTTTTATCGAAAGGGCTCCATCTATTCACTGTATTGTTTTAGAATTGTGGAATTGGCCGCGGTGGTAGTGCGCCACGACCAGATATTTTTCTCGAGAGAATTTATCTGGTTGAAGCTGGAATGATTCTGCAACCGTGTTAGGAATCACACGTTGAAAGGTAAGACCTCGTTAGTCCTTGGCTCGCACAAGTTTCTCAACATATGAGAGTTGTCGTTCGTATGGGCGCGACAACTGATTAACGGAAAAACATATTTTAAACAGATTTTTTTAACAGAAGATTACTAGCATTTGAATCATGCTTACTATTTGCGAAGAAAAACATGATAAAATAAAATTGAACCCTAGAATTGAGGTAAAGTGTGTTTTTTTTGTAAATACTCAAAATGACAGGTTAATGACCCTACTACTTATTCTTGAATATAAGTGTGCCGAAATGTCTTTAAAAAAAAGTCGGAAAAACCAAAATTTGTGTGGAATCGGAACGTATCTACCCTTTGATCTGGGATTTGCGGGACATCCTGTATAACTTGAACATTATATTTTATATTAGTTAATAAAATTTACTCCCCTTGCTTGAAGATAGATCTGGCTAACTCATTTCATGGTGAAGGCTCCATAGGTGAATAGAAAGAAATAAGAGATTGATGCTAATAACTAACTTCTAACTAATAAACTGACTAACTAACTAACTAACTAAAACTAATAACTAACTTCGTGTTGGCTTAATGCGCCTCTCAACTTCGTATTGGCTAAATGCGCCGTACGGAAGCAAAACCCAAGATAACCTAAAGAGAGAGAACCAACTTCGTGGCATATTGCACCAAAAGGGAGCAGAGCCAAAAAGAGAAGAGAGAGAGAGAATTAACTTCGTGTATGTTCTTATGATAATAAATTAAATAAATGAAAGAAATGATTAATTTCTTCAAATATTCAAATGGCTAATACATTTTTTGACTTCGGTTCGACTTTGAACGTAAGTAAAATGATTGGATTCCTTAATAATCTATGAGATTGACAAGAAAGGTTATCCTTTCTAGAATACCAGCTGATAAAAATCATAATTTTTTTTTGCGTCGAAACAATTTTACTGAATAAAAATACCTTTTTCTCTTCGATATTTGATTATTTTAATTATTTTTGATGATAGAAAGCATCAGATCTAGTATTGCAGCACATCTGTTCATTGATATTAATTTTGTAATGATTTTTATTAAGGTTAACAACTAATTCAATAAAGTTAATGTGCAATTGATGCTTCACTCCCTTCATTTTAGCATGTATGAAAAGTAATGAAGTAATCTGTTGCAGAATCAGGAAAGTTTACTTCCACCAGATGAAGATGATTGTTTAGAAAATGAAGAGGAATATGATGCACTCAATGATGAGACATTTGGAGCAACAGAGGATTCTTCAATCCTTGATGATTGGGAAGAGCAACACGAACAATTTGCTGAATTTGCTAAAAGTTCTAAGCATTCTGAACACTTAGGTAAAAATTTGAATGTGTTTAGACACTGAAAGATACTCTATACAAACTGTTTTTATAATTTCTACACTGTTTTTCCACCTCATAATATGATATATGTTGCATTGCACACTTAATATTTATATTAATTTTCATATACACATTAATAAGTTGGCAGTCACATTATTTATCAATATTCCAACCTGTTTTATTTAATTTGATATCATTCATTCAACATGGAAAACTGTGCCTGTGTTGAAGAGAAACTTCACTGAATATCAATTTTCCAACAAAACACCCACTATGGTCTAGTGATTCTCATAGATTATAATATCAAATATAAGAGGAATTATCCATCACCATAAATATAGACTTTTATATCCCACATCATGGTACATATAGATTTGGGAATCCCCTATCAGCAAATGTATATCCCCAGCATACATATCTCTGGTGAAATTTGAGAATTAATTTTTTGATGCCAGCTTGAAGTGTATTTTATTTTGAGAAGGGTGCATAAACAAGGTCAGGGCATGTCAGTTTTTATCTAAACAGAAACCTACTGGCAGAACCCATTATTAGATTTCAACCTTGGTTATTCAAACTCGGGTCAATCCAAGTCCGTGTCAAACGAAACAGTTCCTTGAATGATGTGCATTGCATCCATTGTACAATTGGCAAAATATTTTCTAATTTGCATGTTTTTCTTTTCTCAAAAATGACGAAGTTTTTTCATATTTGAACTTGTACATGAGTTTTGTAACTAATGAAATTAGGGACAATGTTTTTATTTTGATATTCCAAAAAGAGTTTGAAATTTCCATTCAGAATGTTTATAGTGTGGCTTACAGTGTCTGTGAGAATAATGAAATTCAAGGGTAACCAGAGAGCTAGAGAAAGGAAGTAAGACCTGAAGAATATGCAGGAATTTTAGATGTAGTTTAAAATTTTCATTCAAAATGTTTATACACTTGCTCACAGTATCTGTGCGAGCAATATAATTCAAAGGTTACTAGAGAGCTAGAAAAAGAAAATTGTTAGAAAAAAATTAGGACCTGAAAAGTTCGAAAATGTGCAGGAATTTTGATGGAACTGTCAATACTTCATGAATTTAGGCTATACTTTGCCTGGTGATGCTGCCACAGCGTCTTTGTGCAGAATAGAAGTCTTGAACGTATATGGAATCAATTTCAAAAATGTGTAATGATAAGCTTTCATAACTTGAAAGTTTGAACAGTTTAGAAAATAATAGTTGTTTGACCTTTTGATTCTTACAATCGTCTTCTGGTGGTAATTGACTTGTTTCAGTAATGCATTGAGCTGCAGCTGGCTTTTCCTCATTATTGAAGATTTCCACATACAGGGTGTTTATTAAACATGCGGCAAAAATTTAAGGGACTATTCTAAGGATATTTTGTCCTTTGATGATTTTTGATAGGGCACTTCGTTTCGAACATACAGAGTGAAAAAGAATTTCCACAATAACAATTTATTAGCAAAAATTATATGTAATGTTTCTTAATCTACAAGAACTGTTGAAAATGACTACCCCCGCTTGGATGCAAGAATCAAATCTTCTTCTCATCGACTTCCGAACTCTCTCTGTTTGCGTTACACCCAGCAATTATCCGATTCCTCAAATCTTCCACATCTACCACTGAAGAAGTATAAACTAACGACTTATTTAGGTGACCTCATAGAAAATAACCCAGGGGGTTCAAGTCCGGTGATCGATGAGTCCATAAGTGAGGTTCACCTCGACCAGTCCTCGACTTAAAATATCAAACACAGAAAATGCACATCAAATAGACGAAGTGAAACTACAGGCTGTTTGTTAATTTGTCTGTGTGTTTATTCCAAATAATTTGAAAAATTAATTGATATATTCTCAAGTGATAATCAATAACTTTTTAAGAATTCGACAATATAGTATATTATTTTTGGTGATGACCACATTTAAACCTGAAAATTTCTTTTGTTATTTTTAGAAATTATATTGACTGGGTCAAAGCTGTTTCCGGGTTTGTTGGCCGTAGTCTATAGGTTTTGTGTTTGACGTATTGTCTACTACTGCGTTACACATCAAAGGTGATTGGTCAACCCACAAAGTGCTTGGATTGTTACAGTAGATACTACATTATTCGAATTTGTCTCTGGTTTTATTCTTGGTGGTGGACGTGGCTTCGTTTCAATTGGTTGGATTAAATGGCCTTATTTGTGTGCATTCAAGGACAAGAAGCTAGATTTTATAATATCTATTTCCTCTTCCTTTCTATTGCAATTTTTTCTGTGTTCATCAATTTCTATTGTCTCCCTATAAATTCTGGCATATTAATTATGAGTTTGGTCCAGTATTTGTGGTTTATCCAAAATGACAGTTTCTTTTTATGTTACGAGAGCCAGATACTCATACTTCTTTTCGTGATTACAATGTTGAATATGAATCGACTTGTAGCTACAAGCTATTATATTGATTGTTTTGAATCTTTTGTTTTTCTAACAGAAATCAGATTATTTTACCCTTTGCAAATGGAAGATCCTGAAAAAGGTCAATTTTTATATATGAAAATACACCTTTTCAATGAAATTATTCAACTGCCTTATCAACCCCTTAGGGGCAATAGCTACCCCTGTGAAATTTTTTCATGAAAAGGGACAGATTGTAATACTGCGTTTAAATGTGTTTTCAATTTAGCAATTTAGCACTTTTTATTTTTTGGACTTGGATACTCAAATCAAAGTAATTTCATTTCATACCAACAAACACCTTTCGAGTAAAATACATGTCATGACATGTCTATTAGTTATCTTGTCAGAAAACTGACATTGGTAACTAAAGGACTGGTGAATTGTGACAGGTATTTGAGTCGAAGGCTGTTTGTTTGTATGAAATAAAATTACTTTTTTCTTGATTAACCAAGTCAAAAAATCGAAAAGTGCTATATTACTATGATATCATATGCACTGAAAAAGTTTATTTTCATATATAAAATTTTTATCATTAATATGGTGATCTCAGTCATCGTAGAATTTGGGATCTTGGTCGTTTCTAACTATTCAACTGCTATTTATCAAAATTTACCTTCGATTTTTCACAAACTTTTACTCTGTGACAATTATTTTGGTTATGTCTCCACGTAGTAACGGCTACATCCATCAATTTATTGAAATTTTTTTGTCACAAAGGGGTTAAAAATTCAACTGAGACCTTTTTTAAATATAACATACAGTATACTAATATTATTGAATTTATGCAAGTGAAATGGTATCGAATACAATTAAATTCAAACAACGGATGAAAATATAAACAATTATACCCTCTCGAATCATTGTAACGTTATAGCATTCACTTACACTTTCACACTTTTTGATTTTGTTTTCATTTGACAAATAGCTGATTTTTGATTTAGATTCTGATCAGAACTAGAATTATACATATTAGAGTTCCAAGGTATTTTAAGAACTACTACAAGTGACTACTCAGAAAAAAAAACAAAAAATGTATTAGTGCAGCCACTTATAAATTATCGTTAGCACTTGTTTGCTATAAAAAGAGAAGTGTTGAACAAAAGTATAAAACTAAAACACAAATAAATTGATAAGAAGTTAAATCAGAAAATGACACAAAGAGAAGGAAAAACAGTCAAAATAAAAAAGATTAAATATGTTTTATACACATCTTTGAGAAGTGCGGAAAAAATCACAAAATCGTTTTATGTTTTTCCTTCATCAAACACATCCATGTGAGCAGTTGCTAACTTATTTCAATTTATTTTCAGAGAACTCCATATCACAGCTAGTTTTAGATGAACCTGAGCATCGCGTATCCTTATCTAACTCGGTGTGGTCTTACACACCTTCCGATAAAACTGACAACAGTTTCAATTCCTCAGTTCTTTCATCATTGCGGAAAGCTTCTCAATCATTTGTAAGTAGATTCAACTATACAATAAATCTGTAATGCTTTTTTAACAGCTTGTTATGAATGAAGGTCTAAAGAGATCTATCTGAGTTATGGTGGTCAAGACTTCGCAATTGAATTTCATCCCTGAAATTTATAATTTTCTGTTATTGTAAATTTTTTACTGATATCAAGCAAAATCATCTTACTGCGATCTATACCGCTTTTCTAAAAAACTATACATTCTTTAATGTCCCCCCTTTTTATTTTTTGAACGGGTCAACTCAAAAAATTGAAATTTGGGATAATGAAATTAATGCATGAACACTTTATTTTGAAGTGAAATTGACAGATAAAACTTTCAAGATGGCGACTGGCCGCCATCTGGGGAAAAAATTAAGTGGAAAGCGGGGTCTTGTGACACATCATTTTGAAGCTCTGTACGAATACTTCACAATCCTAGAATATAAAGTCAATCAGTAATGTGAATAAAAACTAGTGTAAGCAAATACTAGGGATTTCTTAAGTAAGTGCTACGTTTTGTGTGAATGAACACACTAGCACTTGCTAGGGGTAGTAAGTTCTAGAGTTTTCCCGGACGAGTAGTGAATGCTTAAAAAATGTGAATAAAACTTTTGAAGTAGATTGTTCTGTAGCATATGCTTCGATATTTTCAAGCCTGGTCTGGGGCATGCTAGACTTTTTCCTATCTTTTACTACCTGTCTGCTCAGTCCACAGTTTGTTATTGATCATGGCTGAGTTTATGCCTATTCGTCAACGTAAATTTCATTCTGTTCGCTCTGGAATAAACAAACGTAATTGTAAAGAACTGTTAAGGTTCAACAGTGAGAGTGTTGATTTCCTTGCGGCACAGTTTCTTGAAGAAAGTGATACTCGTGGCGGTGGTATTTCCAGAAGACAGCAAATGGATATATTTCTGAGGTTTGTGGGTGATCCTGGCTTTCAGTCTGGTGTAGCTCAAGATGTGGGTGTATATCGTACTACTGCTAACAAGACTATAAGGTAGGTGTTGAGTAGAGTAGTTGAACAATCACATAATTGGGTACGGTTTCCAACTACAGCTGACGATATGACCGAGGCTAAAGTTTTGTGGCAGAGACATTTTTGTTTGCCGTCTGTAATTGGTGCCCTTGATTGTACTCAAATTGAGATACAAAAGCCTGGGCTGCACGGTGATGAGTATATTTGTAGAAAAGGATGTCCAGGCAACATGCAATGCATTGGAACAGCTTACAAGTATTAGTGCCGAGTGGCCCGGCAGTGTTCACAACGGCAAAGTGTGGAAACAATATAGTTTCCTTCTCCAGTTTGATCTTATTCAGTTTGTATTATTGCAACAAAACAATCCTTTGCAACTGCGGTGTGGACAGGTCTTTAGTTTCATCTGCTTCATGATTCGACACAATTTTTTCACTTTTTCTAATCTTATTTTTGTGGTGGTCGGCATCAGATTTAGTTTTCATCGGCTTCTTCTTCTCTTGGCTCTTCGATTCTTCATTTTTATTTGGTTTCCCTTCAGTTTCTGTATTCGGCAAACTTTCTTGGATGTCATCACTGGTTGGTTGCTGAACTGGGGGCCCGGCACTTGTGCCAACTGAAATATTACCCGGGAGTTTAAGGAATACTGGGTTATCATCTTCTATCAACTACAAGAATGTTTTTTCCCACGGTTGTAGTTTCATTTTCCTGTTTCCCGTCACTTTTACGTCAGTCTTCTTCTTGACGGTAGACTTCACATTGTTCAATGCTTTTATTAGTTGTTTCCCCAATGCACCATAGTAGTCAGAGCGTAAGGTTTCCCAAGCCTCTTTCTTAGCATTCATCACAGCAGAGGTTTTTGATTTGCTAAGTAAGACAATGTGATCCGACAGGAGACGTACAAACAGAGTGCGATCAATTCTTTCTATTTTATTAAAATCATTGTCAGATTCTTCTGATGATGAATACATCTTCTAGCACGTGGTTGAACAGAGTGAGAGAGGGGCCGCCGATGTGGAGTAGACTGAAAGGTAGTGGAGGGGAGAACGTGTCGTGACAGGAACGTTAAAATCTACCATTTACTTGGTCTAGCATGTACTACCCCGCGAGTAAGTGCTTGGGTTTTTCTGGATTCTACTAGACTTGCCCTAGTATTTTCTACTAATCTTCATTCACACTGATTTGACCAAATACTTACTAGACCTAGCATATGCTAGTTAGAAAGTGCTAGTTTTTATTCACATGTCTCATTATCTTTACCTACTACAAAATGGCGGAACATTTAATAATTTCCTGAAGACAAACACATTAATATCAATATTTCTAGAAAAAATCCATTTCATCTGCCATATGGCAATTCCAACAACCTGATAAGGTTTGTTAAGTTATTTTTTGTTTATAAAAACGACAAAAAATGTCAGTACGACAATGAACATCATTGTTCAGTTAGGATATTCTCATTTAGTTTTCGGTTTTACTAGTAGAAAGCTATCACGTCAGCAATCTCTGAAATGGTCAATTCTAGTGCATTGGAAGAAAAAATTGAAGTGATTTTTATTTACGGTGCGACGCGTAACTTTCACAGGACTGAAAGGATTTTCAATGAAGGATACAAGGGAACTTGTATCCAAATTCACAACTACCATTTCGGAAAAACAGCAACTGCAAATTGGTGAGATGGTAGTAAATCCGTAAATACTGAACAGTTTACTTATTCCATTGCGAATGTTTGTGAGGTGTCTCTTTCTACTGTGTGGAGACTTTTGGAGAGGAATAGGTATCATCCATACAAAATTGAAATGGTACACCAATTAACTGAAGATGACCCTGATCGAAGAACATAATTCTGCAAAATCATGACAGAAACCATTGCAAGGCATCCTACCTATCTCCACAATATTTGTTTTAGTGACGAATGTACATTTTTTTTAAACGCCAATGTTCACAGACAAAATTGCTGTTATTGGAGTGACACCAACCCTCACATTTTCCGGGAAATACATACCCAATATCCAGAAAAAATTAACGTTTGGGCAGGAATATTGGAAAACCATATTGTAGAACCTCTATTTATTGATCAAAATTTAACAGGGGAACTGTATTTGAATATGTTGGAAACTATTGTTGACCCTCTCATCAGTGAAATCGTCGAAGCGAATCCTAATGAATTTGATATGGATATTGTATTCCAACAAGATGGAGCTCCACCACATTACTCCAGACAAATAAGAAACTATTTGGATAATACTTTTCCCGGTCGTTGGATTGGCCGTCGAGGTCCTACAGAATGGCAAGCCCGCTCACCAGATTTGATACTTTTGGACTTTTTTTATGGGGCTATTTGAAGCAAAACGTGTACGAAACTAAACCTGCTTCAATATTGGATATACGGCAGAGAATAATAAATATTTGTAGAGATATTGACGAGAGTTGTGAAGCATTTGTCGGGAGCTTCAAAAAGATGTCACAAGACCCCCTTTCCATTAAATTTTTTTTCCCAGGTGACGCCTAGTCTCATCTGTCAATTTCACTTCAAAATAAAGTATTCATGCAATAATTTCATTATCCCAAATTCAATGTTTTGAGTTGACCCGTTCAAAAAATAAAAGGAGGGGAGACATTAAAGAAATGCACTGTATGTGTTCTCTGAATTTTAGGAAATTCTTGGCAGGCTTCAGGAATTCCATCATATAATTTTAATATTTACTTTGTAGCCTTTACCAGTACTTCAGTCTTTTTTTTTTTGCCTGGCTGAAGACTCAAAATTTTCAGAAACTGGTTTAGGAGAAAATTCAAAGAAGTTGCATACATGTTGTCCAACGATGCCTTTAACCAACCTAGCGTAGAGATACGCAACATATGGAAACCTATAATAAAGCGGAAAACGTTCAACTCCCGCCAAATGTCCATCTCCCGCTAAACCGGTGAAGCGGAGAGTGGGAAGAGGGGATAGGTGAAAGCACTTGAATGACTTATGAATAGTCATTTCTCGGAGGAATAAGTCCAGTCATCATTCGAAGACGATTGTGGATATTAACAATGGAAATGTTGTGAAGTAACTTGTCTTGAAATCTTTTAAAATTTTATTTTTTAGTTCATTTTAATTGTTCGATTTTCACTTTTTTGCTTAATTTTTATTATTGTAATTTCTTTTCAGTGTTTTTTTGTTTAATAGAATTATTATTTTCAGATATTCTTTTTCATTTGTTATTTCAGAGATTTCAAATCATATCAAATTAGACAATGGAAGCCTATTGTTTACCTTCATATGAATCACTGTTAAAAATTAAAGGGAACTTTCACAAGAACATTTTTCACCAATTTATACCAGAAATCATTAAAGTATGTTTAAAAGTGAAATTGTACTGTGTTAGATATGAATGCGGCAGCTTTAGAGTTAGGAATTACTCTGCTTTATCTGCCGAAGACACCATCTTGTCTAAACGAGCTTCGAAAAAAATGTTACAGTTCTGGTGTTTGGGATTAGAACTTGTTTTTGGATGAATTTCCTGCTTTCAAATAAACCTATGGGCAGTTGGTTTGTCCAAGTTGAGTAAATCTAAGGTATTCAGCTGCTAGACAATATCTTTCAGCTGACAACACTTTTTTTTTAAGGACAAAATACAAGCACTACAGGAAAATCCTTAGGGCGCTCTAAGTGCGGTGCCCGTGCGGAAGTAGCAATTCACATTGGATTTGAATCGCTGGAGATTTAATCCATTTGGAAAAATGTCCTCAGGAAGTTCATTCCACATAAACTCAGTTCTCCAAATGGAAGAGTTCTTGAACAGTGAAATTCGAGGTGTACTGTGTTGAACCTCAAAACGATGAGCAGCCACAGTCCATCACGTATTTCTGATATGTACCGGTCTTGGTGGAATCAAATGTTCCGAGTCACTTGAACACTTCCCGTGAGAGACAAATCTCTAACCTTTCTTCGATCTTCCAGACTATCAAGGTTGCAAATGATGTTCGCGTCTCAAATCAGGTGGATGGCTCTTTTCTGGATGGAATCCAGCAGCTTCAGGGTATCCATACACGAGAACAATACTTCAAAGAAGATCTGATCTGAGCTTTATAGAGCATCAAAAGTTGCTGAGGTGTGTACAGTTTTCTGGTTCGGAACAGTGTTCCAAGTTTTTGAGAAGCGGCAATTCTAGCGACATGATTGTGCCAAGATATATTGGTATTCATTTTAACCCCCAACGAACTTATCGAAGCACCGAACATTAGTCAGTCTATTTGTAGTTGAAAATAGTTTGGATGTCAGTTACTTATAGAAGGTTGGAGGTTCATTTGAATATTCATGGAAATGGATGGTGGCTCATCTGGTGGATTGTTTTGTAAAGCCCCATTAGCCCCAAAGAAGTCGGTTACAAACAAATAAACATACAAGTGAAGCTCATATAAGCATGTTAATCAAGATCATTAGATAAATATTATGTATCGATTAGGTGGATCTTCTAATAATGCATATATGCTGAATTTTTGGTTAATTTGCTTTCTTTGAATATTTGACATAACTGTCATTGCCCAGTATGTCTATTAAAAGTCCACAAAAAGAGAAAAAGGGTTTTTTAATATAATCCCAAGCCAAAAAAATACAGGGTCCGAATTTGAAGATCCTGAGAGAATAGAATTTTTGTACTATATTTCAGTTATGAAGATGAATATTATTCTTGATTCAAATCTTTAGACCTTCAATTCACTTTGAATGTTTTTTGCCAACCTATTCTTTAAGGAGCAAGTGAAGAATATGTTTTTTTTCAACTAAATTCTTCTTGATTTTTATTTGTTCAGATTGAAGCACATACAGATAGTTCATCAAAATCCGTTAGCAGTTTAGATAGCACTCCATCATTGTTAGCTACTCAACCTAAAAAAATATGCACTGTGGAAGAGATAGAGAAGAACCTTATCAAATCTTCACAAAATGCTGCTACATCATCAAAACCACTCCAGGAGCACCATCAAATTCATCAACAACAGCAATTACCTAAGCCACTATTACCCCCGCCAGGACATTCATATCATTCATTGATGCAGGTTAGTTTCAATGTGTTCAAATATGTTCATTTATGAGGTACATTTTGCACACGTAACTCTTAACAAATCAAAAACATATCGCAAACCTAATATGTATTTTTTCTCTCACCCAAATAGCACCCATTGGTAAATACGAGATTACCACCACCAGGCTTACCTCCAATGAATATTCCACCTCCAGGATTAGGCCCCTTGAAACAACAGATTAACCATCGCCCTAATATGCTACCTCCTGGTATGTTGCGATTGATACCTCCTCACTCGTTTATGCAACCTAATGGCCCTCCAAGGCCACCAGGATTCATGTATCCCCCTGGAAGCATGCAGAATCAGTTTCCTGTAAGTATCAATCAAATTTGAAATGTTCTTAAAATGTGTATGTTCTTCCTATGTAATCATTCATCGGGAACTATTTACACATACTGGCCGTTTGTTAATAATAGAATGCAGTAATTGAAGAATGATCGGAGGAGAGAAAGTGAAAATAAGAGAACACATGATTTTGACATTTGACAAGGCGATAAATATTCCTTTGGGTTATTCTGTTAATATTTCAGATTTGCTAGAAACCATTATTACAGAATTTGTTGCCATGTCATTGTATTGTTATTATAGCCTACTACTACTGTAGTCACTTTTATAGCTTTTTGGCATCAGAATGCATTAGATATAAGGAATTATCACACTTTATTTCAAAATTTCATTATGTATGTAGAATATGTATAATTTTTATTTACTTTTCCCCATAATATTGAGGAAAATCTAAACAAAAGTAACCTAAAAATAACATTGTTTTAAAAAATCACACATTTTAGGTCAGAAATTTTCGTTAGAAAATCTACTTTTATTTGTATTAATTGGAAAGTTGAATATAAATTTAGCTGACAGTCATTACGTGACTCTCTGTCGAATGAAAAACCTTCAGGTCTTTATTGCCACCATCAAAATATTTCTTTGTATGTCCCTTATATTTGAAAAGAAAACTGAATCCATCTTTGAAATGAGAATAAAGGAAATGTCAGTTGAAAATACAATTTTTTTGAATAGTATTTTGAAATCTTTCGAAAAGTTTTCATATATCCTACATTTATCTAATAATGCTTTTTCAGCAAAAATTTATTGTTTTACTGAATAATTATAATCTAGTAAAAGTTGACTTTTTTGACTTCTGACTAATAAAAAATACAATACAAAAATTCAGATCAGTAACTATCATTGTTAATGAGATATAAAATTAAACAACTAAAAGTTTTCTCATACAATAAAATTGGAAACACAAGAAATTCATTCACTGAGTAGAATGTTTTGGTGCATAAAAATTAATGGTTTGAATTTAATTTTTGTTGTAAGCAACCCTGGATCTTCAATTTTTTTAGGCGGTGCAAAAACTGAAAAATGCCGCCCCCACACACTTATATTTTTTTTATCTTTATCATCATTATAATTTTAGCTATCAAATGTCTGTTCTTTCTGTGTCAAGCCCATTTATTAACAGATATAAAGATATGAACGTGTAGAACATATATTTTATAAGTAGCTTAGGGTAGGATTTAAAATAAAAATCAAATATATTATTGCATATTGTGAATTGATATTACAATTTTACTCTTCAAGCTTTTTGTTCAGCAAACAAATCTAAGGGCTTGTCAAAATTTAATTCGTGTTCAGTTCGATTTTCTATTGCTTAGATTGTATGACTCAAGAAGCTTTCCAGCTCACAGAAGATCGCAAATAATTTTTAATTAGTTATAGTTTGCTAAAACTTCGCCTTCAGCTTGTGGATGAAGTAGGAAGCATAGAGTAAATTCACAGGGCAATACAAATATTAGAAAAAGCATCCTTCAGATCATGGACATAGATATGTTGCAAGAGATAGAAACTGTTAGTCTATATCACCGAATAAAAGTGGAGCTCGATCTTTAAAAATGTTGAGTTCTGCTTCATACGTTTGCAGTTCTTCAATTTACATTTTCAAAATATTAGTACCATTAACCCGGCGTCATTGTGGCTACTAAACAGAACTCAGTCGTTGTGGCCGGGTAAATTTTACCTATGTATATTATTGTGTACTTAATCAAATTTATGTCGATATTCATGTTATATATTAAAAAAAGTTATTTCGAGTTAAAAAGTCGTGATTTCAAGTTAAAAATCGTGACTTTGAGTTAAAAGTAGTGATTTGAGTTAAAAGTCGTAATTTCTAGTTGAAAAGTTATAATTTCGAGTTAAAAAGTCGTAATTTCGAGTTAAAAAGCCGTAATTTCGATTTAGAAAGTCGTAATTTGAGTTGCAAAGTCCTAATTTCAAGATTGAATTTCGGGTTTTGAAGTCTCAATTTCAAAGAAACAAATATTAAAAATGTGACCGTTCTGCGTTTCCGTAAATAATAGTATATGTTGAAGAAATTGTCAGTGATTTGAAATAAATTGTGTCAGTTGATTTTTGAATTCAGAAAGTAATCATCAATAACATTTTTTTAATATTTTATCTAGGAGTTCGCTGAATATTTCAAAACCCTTGTAGATTTTGTGGTACTCCATGATGAATCTAAGTACCTGGTGGAATGAATGTGAATATTCTCAGATTGTAAGTCATTACATTACAGTACGTTTTTTACTCATTTACATGAATTTGAAGAATATTGAAATGATGCAGTGATATTTGTAAAATACTCTTTTTAAACATTTTTTCATGTTCAATAACATTTTGAGCAGAACTCCAAAGGATCAAATCTTCTGATCAGATTGCAATATAAATATTGTCTGGCAGGAATTACACAAAACACTAGAAATCTAATTGAAGTATCTAGAACTTCTTACACCAGGATTTTATACATCTTGGACAGAACTTATTCATTTCATTATTCATTATTTCCTTATTCATAGGGAAATAGGTAATTATAAACATTATTAATACAAATTAAATATTTATTTATTATAAAATAGCATACTATCATCAAATTTAGGTACAAAATATAACATTATTTTTAGAATATATATATAAGAAATACAAACTTTGAATAACAAAGCTTAATTATTACATACAAATAGGCTTGTTACACTTATTGCAGTTATAGCTAGTTTTTTTGTCTTTGGCAGGTTAGGAGTCGACTTTGTTTCTTTTCATAAGACATGGTTCATAAAACTGAAAAACAATATGCAATTCATAAATAAACAATAAAGAACAACAAACATGCTGTCTTTATAAATTTTACTTGACCATTGTGGCCGGGTATAACTTACCCGCACGCTCTTTACACACATGTAAACTTCGTCGCAGCCGCAACAACACTAAATAAAGAAGTGAATACGCGAAAAGAGGTCAACAACCGCAGCTATTGTAACTGACAATTAACTCGCGCATTTTGTTTTAAAATTTTGACAGTTTTAAAATTCGTCGGGTATTAGACACCCGGTAACAACGACTCCGGGTTAAGAGAAGTAAAATTCAAATTCAGCATGATAGCACAATCAAACCTCAAACGGTTCATCATATTTACGTTTTTCATACGCCGTTGTAAAGAGGCTTCCAAGACCTTTCAAATAAAGTATCACACAACCCCTCTCCCCTATTCAAGTTTGAGGGGTTGAAGAGCCCCCTTTTAGGGGATTGCTCGTTCAAGCCTAAAATATACGTCAAAAGATGTCCCCAAACAAAATCATTCGACGTGTTTCGGGAAATTTTGCCACTCAGTATGGGTTAAGAAATATACGGGGTGGCTCGTCTGAGATGGAACACCCTGTAGATGCCATCCATATTGGACCCATTATCATAAGATTGGCCACGACATTGTCCAATATCTAATATGATCGACAAATACTAAATAGTAAAACACAAAGAAACTATGCCTATGCGCCTCGCGAATATTAATGTTCGTGCCTGGTGTAGGTCAAAGTTAAGTGAATGATAAGTGGTCCATTCTTCTGTAAAGTGTGAATTTGACCGCCCTCTGAACTTGCCGCCCGGGCATAAGCCCCGGCTTGCCCCCCATCCTAGATCCGGGCCTGGTTATAGAAGTACCAATATTTTTTTGAATTTTATTGAAACGGTTGATACCGATATGATTTGGGTAACTCTTGGACAATGATAGTCTTGAATGTGATTCATGTAAATTTTTTCTATTATGAGTATTATGTGGATGAAGGCCACAGTTTGTATCAAATTGAAGCTCAACATTTTTCATATACATAATCAGCTAAAATATATATCTATATAGTCAAGGCAGAATCAGTACCTTAAACTGCTGAAATGATGGTTTGCCATGACACTGGGGGTGGCTTCGAATATTGTTCTCAGAATTATTCTCTTCTGGGATATGAATACCTTATCAAAATGGGCTGAAGAATCCCAAAATGTCGAATCATACTACAACATCAGTTGAAATAGACAGCCTCAGTTCTGACAGTCTCAGTTCTGACAGTCTCATGACAAAAAACATTGAAAATGTAATCATTTTGAACTGTTGATATCAAGAACTCATCATTTTACAAAACCAGCTTTCAATTACCTCACTCTCTTAGAGAACGAAAGACCACAAAGTTTTTTGTACTAAGAGTGGAAAACCTAAATTTATAGAGTAGCTAGTTACAAACGATTTTAAAAAATATTTTTTGTCTTCGTTTGCCCATAAAATTTTATTAGGATGCAAACATTCAGAGTAAAACAATCTGAAAATACATTAATTCTTGTACATTTTAGTAAAGAATCCCAGATTGTTGAGAATGCTGAAAAATTCGCCTTTGAATTGAATTATGAAATGTTCAATCAGTCCATTCTCCCCTGTATAGTCAGTTACCATTTTTTCTATAACACCATATAATAAAACAAATTTTTACTCACCTTGTAGAGTTGGAGGACTTTTTTGCCACAAATTGAAAGTTTTTATGGTGCACTATGGGTTTTTATTGTAACTTTTTATTGATTATTTGCGATTTGTCTTGTCTGAACTATTTTAGAAAAATAGTTTGAAAACAGGTCGAACTCTTTTGTAATTGCATTACTTTCATATGATAATACTCAGCGGGTTCTGAGGTTTATTATATTACAAAATTTGCATTTGATTATTTCAAATAAAAAATCATTGGTGACAAGTGTATTTAGTGTAGGTTTCGTAATTAAATAGAAAACAATAAGTAATCCCCACGGCAAGTATATATTTGTGAGATTAGGCGAAACAAATGTTTTTTTCACAATGGAGCAAGTAGCGCCAAAGTTTTATTCTCCGATATGCATGTTGAGATACATTCAACCCTTATTCCTTTCGAGTCTAAAATTTGAACACACACGTTGACAGTCCAGTTCTTCCATACCCTCGAATTAGAATAATTCCACTAATTGTA